TTCTGTGATTCTGTGATTCTGTGACTTGGCATTGTGCTTCTAATTCAGTTCTTAATACTTGGCAGTATTCTGAGAACCGGAAAGGGAAGTGATCTGACAAGGACGATTTTACCAATGTCACCATTGTCTCTTTGATTAAATATGTCCTTCCTATGAGAAATGTGATACACAGTTACCATGAACTGCTGTAGCTCAGCTTGGGTTTTGTGCCACAAGAATGAGTAAGGGCTATAAGCTGTGTTCTGCAATAGTTCAGTCTTGTCATTGTCCCAGAACTGATCAATTTTATGTGTTTAGGTATAAAATCACAAACCCTAGAAGAAATGGTTTGTTCAGAACATAGCAACATGTGCTAGGTAACACAGGCTGTGAAAAGCTTAATGTTCAATTTCTTACTTGTCTTTCCACTTAAAAATTAGTTTAATTCAGGGTCACACTCCTTGTCATTAGAGTTGACGGAAAGTTTGGTACTAGAAAGATGTTCAAACCTGCAAATAACAGCTTTCAAAGCTGACTTAATTTCACTAGCAGTCCACAAGAATAAAAAGCATAAAGGAAGCAATACCCTTCCTTGGAAAATGGGCTTTGAATCTGGATGTTGTTTGTGTAAAATTATGTGAAGATGGTTTTCCAGAAGGGTGGTTGTCTTTGCTGCCTTGAAATGCAAAATCTGTCTCCCACTACCTGTCTGTAAGGAAAGTGACACAACCATAGGCACACTGTTGTTTCCCTGAAGCACTCTGGGGTGAATGAGCATTGGTGAACATTTCTTAGTGTTGAAAAGTACTATAGAACAGGAGGTGGAACACGTTGTTTATAGTTTTAAAAGAACAGAAATTTCTTGTAGGAAGTCCTATTTCCTTGTAGAAAGGAGGGTGATTTATTTTTTTTCTTTTTTTTTCTTTTTTTTTTTTTTTCTGAAATAAAGCTTTGTTAGTTCTCCATGGAACTGGGGTAGTCTTGAGCAATGACTGTGCAGTGGGCTTAGGCAGAGTGCTTACAGGCAGCAGTTTTTGCAATGCTTGTAGATTTTTCAACAGATTGCAAATAGTTGCAAACTGATTTTTCAGATGTGCTTTGAAATGTTAATATGACTGTGCTATTCTTTAAATTTGTTGCTGGAAAAACCCCTTTTTTGGAAAGTATTTCTAAGAGACTTTACGATGTCAGGAATTCCTCTATCTGGTAAAGGTGTTCCACTCTGCTAATGTGCTTTTCTGCTTCTTGTACTTATGGGGGCAGGGAGTGTCTTTATTTTTTGAGTTCTCTGATTGTGAAAACTTTAGAAGGCAATAAAAGATATCTTGCACAATCTTTTAAGATGATTGTCACACACCCAAACTCGAGGGAATACAGAATCTCTAGTTCTTGGGACATCTTTGAGGGGCAGAAATTTAGAAATGTTGTTTCACTATACATAAGCAAGATAACAAGTTCCTAGACCTAGAAACATTATTTTTTTTCCTTCCAAACTTGTAAAAAGGTATTTTTAAGCAGCCTGGCTTAGTTTCAAATATAGATGCTTTCTTCTAAATTAATTTAGTTAGCTGTACTTTTCAACAGTATCTAATTCTAATCGATTGTAAATAAATCAGTTAAATGTCGATGAGCATGTGGGTAATGTTACTGTGGCTTAGGTACTTTTTCCTTTTAATGAGTTTAAAAAGTTCTCTCAGTGTACTTGCCTCAAGCAGCAGTTTAATCCAGAGTGGTATGAAGTAAACTGCTCAATGTCTTCTGGCATTTCTGTTAGGCCAGATCCAGTATCATGTTCTCAAACTGCATTGCCTAATTTCTTCTTGGCATATAGACAAAAAAGTCTCAAGCCATTACTATTTAACTTTTGGAAACTAACTAGCATTTCTTTGGCTGCTCATTTGTAAGTGCAGTGTTGTCTTAATCCGCTTGGAGGACACAAAGAAGGTAAATTCCTGCTTTTTTTCAGTACTGCACCAGACTGCAGTTGTTTTAAGAGGGTACGACGCAAATTAGATTAGTGAAATTATCTGTATGAAAGAAAATACTGACTTCTGAAGGCTGTCTTCCTGCTGTTCATGTCCATGATTTTACTTCCAACTCAGCTACACAAGTAATTGCATCAACGCAAATGTGTGTGACAGCAAATCATGGAAGGTGTTGAGGAGAGTGTGTTAAGGAACCTTGTAAATCAGCTTTTCCTCCTGAATTAACTGGGATGTGAAACTGCATTTCCTGATAGCAGCTCCTGTGTAATATATTAACGGTCATAGTGTAGCTTAGTCTGTAATGAGTTTGCACACTCTCTTTAACTGTGTCTTAAGTTCTCAACAGTTCAAATTCTGGGGCTCAATATGAATTTGAACTGAAAGGGAAAGCCTACAGCTTAGGCATGTCACGTACATGAGAGGAGCTATATAAAAATGCATTTGATCACTTCAAATTTTTTTCCTATTCTCTATTGAGAACTCAGTGGTTCATAAACTGTTTCTTTTGCAGAGGACCATATTTTTTAAAAAGGTATTATCAAGTCAGTTTTTTACTGCAGCGATGTTTTCATAATGTTGACTTTAATTTTGTCTTTCAGTTTAAGCAAATTAGAGAAGTTTTACCAAGATGACTGTCTTCATTTTTTGCTAACCAAAATTTTATTTAAGACTGAATTCTTCTCTCCTGAGAGAGATTAATTAGGCTAGTGCATATTTATCAGAATTTGGGCTCATTTGCAGTGCTCTATCTACAGGAGTGCCCTGGTGGTTGTCTTCAGTGCTTTTGCAAAAGCTTATAAAACACTCTTTTTTTCTCTCCATTGAGATAAGGGGAGTTTCAGAGTAATGCTTTCATTGATCATGGATATTGGAGGGGTATGATAGTTTTTTAACACACGTGAAATACATGCCTTAAGGTTTTGTTTAAAAATAAAATAGCAGCAGTGAAACCCATTCTTTGGCCTCCAAAGTCCTCATCAAGGGCCTTAGCAAATGGCTGTCTCAAACAACTAAAATGTATAATTTTGTTGGGTGATTCAAACAGCTGGTGTCATTCCAGAAGAGGGAAGCATTTGGGCATTAATCTAGGAACCTGAGGTGGTATCTTGATGGCATCTTTAATATCCAAGTACTCTAGAATGCTTGTCCTGTTTACCTAGTTACTTTATGACCACAAGAATGCAGAGTGCCCTGTCTGCCAGAAATTCAGGGGTCCCTTCGAAATGAAGACTGGCTTGATTGTCTGTTCAAATCTGAATTATAGTTCTAGCCTTGAATAATCTTCCCAAGTGTGTGCAAAAAAGAAGAATTATTTATGAGCTGTTTACCAACATGTCCTTTTTGTTACTCTTTCCTGTTAAAAGTTTTCCAACATGCAGTTCTGTCAGTGGAGACTGGACAATAATAGGTCAGAAAAATATTTTGGGTTTGAAAAATTATTTCTTTTGTCTGCCAGAGGTGTAGTAGCTAGTGTTTGGAAGGGTGATTTCTGCTCCCCTCTCACCCCGTCTTCTGAAAAGTTGTTGTAAGAACAAAATGTTCCTGTTTGAGGTAAATTTTGACCTGGCGTCTCTGTAGTCAGCCATCTGTGGCAGCTTCCTTGTCGATAATGGATTGAATTCTGTTGTCATGTCTCTGTAGTTTATCTGACATGGTACTGTTTCTTCCACAGAGGAGAAGAAAAAACTAGTTAGAGAATTTGATGAAAAACAGCGTGAAGCAAATGAAACGGTAAGCATAGGTCTGGACTTCTGGCCTTTCTGACCAGTTGGAACACTGATGCTTTAAAAAGGACACTACTGCCAAATTTTACTCTCTTTATGGTTCTTATGCTGTCAGGCAAATGTTGTATTTTTAAAATCCGTTTGATTCATTGATCTGATAGATGTGTCTGTGTTTGTCAAGGCTGTGGTATAGATGTATATACATATATAGATATAGACAAATATTCATACATGTGTGTTTTTTCTTTTGTGTGCTTGGTTTGAATATCAGCTTCGCTTTGTTGAACAAAGGAGAGCGACAGAGGTGCAATTACAATGGCTAGGCATTTTAGAGAGGGCATGTAGAGAATCTACCTTTCCTTTTTGCTTTTTTTTTTTCCCCCTACTGTCTTTTTTCATGTTAGTCTTAACCCACCTGATCTTTCTATGGTTAAATGTCTGATGTCAGGGACTGTGAATGTTTGAAACCTCTATTGTATAGGCTTTCTGGACAGCAGGTAACATGGAACAGCACAACCCCCCCCCACTCGTCTTTTTAGGCAAGACATCATGGATTAAGTTATAGAGTGCTGTTTCAGGAAAAAAACAAACAAACAAGCATTTAAGCTTGGCTTTTTTTTTAAATTATTTTTGGAGTCATTGTGTATCTGAAAATCTACATGGGCTGAATGGCATTAGGCAGAAGAGTGTGCTTGATAGTAGATGAGGGCTGTAGGGTTTGGGGTTAATCCTCCCCCTGCCCAATCACAGAAAAACGTATGAATCCCTTCATCTGGGGGTGAGTTCTGAGTATAGCTGCTGGTAAAGAACAGATTTGGTGCTTTAAAAAATAAACACACTTTCTTTCCTTGAAGCTTCGGGAAATGGAGGAAGAGCTGAAGTATGCTCCTCTGCCTTTCCGCAACCAAATGATGAGCAAAATCCGGGCGTACAGAAGAGACCTCTCCATGTTCCAGAGAGAGATGAGAAGCACAGATTTGGGATTGGGCCCTGGAAATCAAGGCGATATAAAATATGGAATCTTCTCTACAGAAAATGAACAGAGTGTGAGAATCAGATACAAATTTTATTTAGCCTTGCTGTGATTGTTTAGAAAAATATTCCAGATGTAATGTTTACAGTGTTTCTACTTTAATCCACTTAGCTTCTGTGCTTGAATAACTCCCTGTATATCTCTGTGCATGTAACACAAATATCTCAGGGAGGAGAAGGAACACCTAGAACTCAAAGGAGAGCTTTTCTGTTCTAAAGCAAAGATATGAGAATAACAGAAATGGAAATACTTGAAATACCGTGTGGTTAGTAACTTACACAACATTCTGTACTGAGGTGCTTTATTTAATCATGCCCTTACAGCACTGAAAACACAAAAGTGATACTACTGGCTGAGAAGAAAGTTTAACTGATCTAGTTTTTGTCTCCAAAACTAGTAAAGTGTGTGACTCATGCACTGCATAGGTTCTTTGGTAGAATTCTCCTGTAAACAATCTCAGTGTAAATAATTTCAAGAAAATATAAGAAATCATCCTCTAGCACTTTGTTCACTATGGATGCACTGCTACAGTGCAAAAAATACACCAATTTCTTTGTTCACCAGGTATGATTAGATATATCTGAGCTAGTGAGACTGAATCTGCTTATTCTCTTCCAAGTGCTGTCATCAGTACAAAAAGTTCATGGAGGTGGGCTTTTTGTTTGTCTGCCTTAGATAAGGAAGGTTTGAGGGAGGCTCTTCCCTTAGTATCTCATTTTGCAGTAGCTTGGAAATTTTTGCATTTGATTCCTCTTGATTGGTTCCTCTAAAACCTGAGAGCAGGGTGGTAGATTAGACTTTCTGAAGTTTAAGAAAATACTTTATTTTGAGCTACCTTTTGAACCCAAGGTCAGCAAATATTTCTTATCCTCTAGCCGAGGCTACTGGTATGAAAAGAGGATCTTCCTTACTTAGCAGTCCATCTGTTTGTTCCTAATTCTTTTGACTGTGTAAACTCCTAGTGACCTCCCTGGCAACCAACTGTGAAGTCACAAATAAGACTGAATTTAGATAAGAATTAAAAGAAAAGTTAGCATCTGGAAAGCAAAGATACTATTGTCATGTAGATGTTCTTTGATGTAAAAGTAAATTGAAAAATTTCCTTTTCCAAAGTTTAACGAGATTTGGCCGTAGTCTTACAATGTGAACCAGAACTCTTTCAAAATTAACTGGGCTACATCAGTTAGTATCAGAAGCATGTACAGCTAATAATACAAATGGATGGCCTTTGGAGTCACATCCTAACTTTTTAATATGGCAGAAGCCTAATTCCTCTCTCTTTCTTTGTGCTTAATGGTGAGGCGTACATTGTTTTTCAGACTAATCTACAGTCACAGAGGGTCCTGCTTCTCCAGGGAACCGACAGCCTGAACCGAGCCAGTCAGAGCATTGAGCGCTCGCACCGAATTGCTGCTGAAACAGATCAGATTGGCACCGATATAATTGAAGAACTTGGGGAGCAGCGTGAGCAACTGGAACGCACCAAGAGCAGAGTAAGCAGAGAAACTGTGGGCATTGTATTGAAACAACCTGATGTTACCTGGTGGGAACTGTTTGCTGGTAGTTACTCTTGGAGACCTCCGTAGGCATGGTAATCTAATTGATGTTTCTGCAGCCCAAGTCTAGGCTGCCACATTCTATGCTGTGCTCCTAAAAGGAAAATAATTACTGTAGAAGCTCCCAAAGCATGATGGCCAAACATCTGCTGCTGTGTCCGTACAAGATTGGATATTAGACCAAGTAAGCACGCTCAGCCAAAACAAAAAGTGTACCCCGTTTCTTGGGAGTAATCTCTATGCATTGCAACAAAGCCCGTAGCTTTTTCATTTGAGCAGTTTTTCAATTTTAGTCATAATTTGACTTGCCCTGCTCCCAAATTTGGGTTGGAGAGCAGGAAAGGAAGTATGATCTTAGGATTTGTAGGTGTACTTTTTGTCTGTTCTTTTTCTAATTAAAAATGCTATAGTCCTTCAAGCATGTCAGTCCACGCACAGTCGTTCATGAAGCTCTGAGTTTTATTATGAGCATTTTAGACACTGTATTCTTGAATTGTATTAAGCACAAATTCCAACTAGAAGCAGACTTTCTCCTTGCTTGGTCTTTCATAGCAAAGATTGGAACTCTAGTATGCTTTGGGTGGACGTGGTAGTTTTCTTCCCAACTTGGTCCAATTGCTCTCGGTGCAAGGTAACAGTCAGGGCCAGTTTTGCAGTCGAGGGCAATAGCTTAAACTACAGAGGAATTGTGCAGGCAGGTGTCTGTGATGGCAAGTGGTCGGTCTGCCTTGCCTTTCACTTCTCTTGAAGCTTTGGAAGTGGAATAGCAAAATCTTACCTGGAGACCTCCATCATGAATCCAGACTCTGTGAGAGAACAGCTTTTTTTAGTTGTCTGTAACCTCACTTAATTACATGCTTCTTAATAGCTGACTGAAAAATACTTGACAGGTCATTTCTGAGCATTTTAAAGCTGAAGTGGATTATCTATTAACAGTTCAGACCTCATATCCACAGGGTCACTTCGCCCTGTCAGTGCAACATGGTTCTTCCTTTGCTAGAAATCAAACAGCTTTTCAAGTAGTTCCAGAAGTGCACTGGGAAGAACGTGTCAATATCATTTTCTTCTGGTGTCAATAACTAGAATAATGAGATTAAATTTTATGAAAGGAGCTAATACCAACCTTCTAATATTTGTAGATTAATTAGCTAAAGGGACAGAAAGTGATTCTAAATTGCATAGCTTTGTATGTATCTAAGGGAAAGTATACATGTAAAGTCTTATTTCCTCCTTAGAAAGCAGACAATGCTTCCAGCTTATATTGTGTGTAGAGAACAGTGTTGTCTCTGAGTTTTGAGAGCATTATTAATTGCAGCATTTCAACACCAGCTCCTTCCAGGTGCACTTGTACAGAGTTGCTGTCTACTTGCTCAACTGACAAATTTTCTGTTTCTTCTTAGTTGGTAAATACAAGTGAAAACTTGAGCAAGAGTCGCAAGATTCTACGTACTATGTCCAGGAGGTGAGTAGCATGACTGACTGACTTAGAGCAGCATTCGGCAGGCAGCATTGTTGCCTGCTGGTCTAAGGTAAAAAATAAAGAACAAAGTGGCAGCTGGAACTGCAGGGAGATTTTAGGGAATGTGTAAATGGAATGTGTGCACATGTGCAGATGCTGATTTGTGTTTTCTTCTCTCCGGTAATTACTTAATGGAGTATAGGTAGGTGAACACCAATGAATTTGTGCTGCTCCTGGGGTCTTTAACCGTCCCGCGTTATAAATTGTGGTGAGGGGAGGGATTTGGACATAAGCAAGCTCCAGTGAACTGCTAATGGTAACTTCAGATGCAACCTCCTTGTTATTCAGGTTGGAAAAAGCCGTGCTGTAAATCACTGCAGCATTGAGTTAGATGTCTGATGACAGATAAATCCTAAACAGATGCCCTAGAGAAGCTAGACTGTCGTATGAGAAACTCTGAGCCTGGCCATATACTATTTTGATGACTAAAGCCTTGGCTGCTTAAGTGTATTTAGTTTCGTAACTGTATGGCTTAATTATCCTTATTAAACCAGTTAATGGAATAGGATATCTTCAGTAGTCACTTCTGGCCTAACAAACTTTCCCTTACACCTGTTGCTAAAGGATGTTGCAGTAACTGTATAATTTTCAGTAGGGA